CTCCCCCCCCCCCCCCCCCCCCGGCTCCACATCCAGGTTGGGTCCACTAAGCAGACCAAGCAAAAAGATTGAGCCAAACCTGAGTTGGGATTAGTGGGTATTACTACAACATGAAATAATAACTGATGATTGAATGTCACACCTAAGTTTTATTGTAGGAATTCATAGCAGCCATAATGCAATGCAAGGGGATACAAAGAACAGCCAATTAGAAGTGTGGAAGGGAGAGGTTCTGGGACCCTGTCTGTTTGCAGGAGTCAGTAGGATTTATGCAGTTCTTTGCAGTCCTGACTTGTAGTTTGCTGACAGTGGCATAAGCCCCATGTAGATATGGACATATAAATTCACTTCTAATTGAGTTAGATGTAAGACTACTGACCCCATGTAATATTCAGTATCATTGTCATGCTACCATTATTAACAGTGGGGCTGAACCTTAAACATGAGCTTCCTCCTCCACCCTACTGAGAATTTTTAAAGCCTTTTAATTAGCTTCTTTGTTGTGTTTTAGTAAATAAATCAGGATACATGAGTCTTATACACTGACAAAAGTCAGCTGCATTTAATAAAAGAGAACTTCTGAGACATAGTGCTGTTCCCTTCTATAGACAAGAGCAATAAAGCACATATGCACTGAAATTAATGAGACATTGATTTTTGTTTTTTAATATTGCCGAAGAGGTTAGCCCAGCATACCCCTTTGCTAGGTACTCCATCTAGTTCAGGAGTGGGCAATTATTTTGGGTGGCGGGCCACTTACCAAGTTTTTGCAGGCTGTTGAGGGCCACATGGATAGCCCCACCGCTTGACAGGTGCCTCACCCCCTGGTTACCATCTTGGGACCAATGTCACAGGGCCAGCACTGGTGGGGACCAGAGCAGAACACAGGCTGGCAAGGGTCTGTGGAGTCAGGCTGGCCTGCACCAGCAGGGAGGGAGGAGCTGACCAGGCTCCATAGAGCCCCTGCCGGCTGGGAACCCGCGCTTCTGGACCCCACCGGCACTGGCCCTGGGGCACTGGTGCGGGCCCCGTGCTCTCGCTGGCTCCTTGCCCACTCACTCCCAGTACCCCTCAGCCCCACGGTACAGGCGGGGGGCAGTGCTCAGCCCCAACCCCCTGCTTGCCAGCAGGGAAGCTGGTGCTGAGCATGGGGAAAAGTGGCCCCTTGCCTGCCCCATGACCGGCACTCCCTGCTGCAGGGAGGGATAAGCCCAGGAAAAAGCTGAGCATGGGGGGGAAGCGGCCCCTCCCCACCCCACGCCCGGTACCTCATGCTGCAGGTGCTCTCAGCCCGTGTGGGGCTGTCCGGAGCAGGCATAGGCAGCCCCACGTGGGCTGCAAGCAGCTGCAGCATGGGGCACCAGGCATGGGCAGGGAGGGGCTGCTTTCCCCCCCATGCTCCTTCCCTGTCCAGGGTCCCCCCGTTACCTGAGCCTCCCGCACTGGGGCAGCCACATGCTCCCAGCCCAGAAACCGCAGCAGGGGCTTCTGGCTGGGGGTGGGGCCCGGTGGGCCCTGCTGTTGTGGGAGCCCACCAGGCTTCCATTTTTGACAGGAAACAAAGGCAGAGAAATATTAGTTTTCTACATTTTTTTAGGGGCCCCATGGGCCGAATAGAATGGTCTCGCGGGCCAGATCCAGCCCACAGGCCATATTCTGCCCACCCCTGATCTAGTTATAAGAGAACAGCCTCCTATAATCAACCAAGATAAAATCACTTTTAAATGAATTTATCTTGTGACACCCTCAAAGACTGAGACATGAAGACTGATACATCATATTTGTTTGTTAGAGAATCTTGAAGGGTTGAGAGCGATGGAACCAATGAGAGCGGGAGTATGGATTCATCAGACACGTATTCTCAGCTTGCATTTAGGGGAATGGATCTGCACAGCATCTTATGCACTGAAGTGCTCCATTATTGGATGCTGGTATAATTTGAGTTTCCCTTCCATGTGTCCATAACAATCTTAGCTAAAATGGTGGATGTTATGAGTAAGCATAGGAAGTAAGTGCCTACCTGTGTTCTAAAGGAATGGCCTATCTGTGATTTAAAGGAATGGCCTGGCATAAAAATAAAAAAAGGATAATTGTTTGGTTAAACTGATAGCAAAATACACATTTCCCAAAGAATGCATGAATTCCAAATAAAAGGCAATGTGAGTACATAACTACATTTTAAAACTGTCTCTAGATGAGGTGTGCAGGTGGTAAGAATGTCCATAAAAAATAACAAAGAAAGCTTACTGGCCTTTTCACAGAGGCTTCCTTAACTTCATAAATGTGCAAAGTATGTTTTTCTGGAAATATATACCTTACATTGGTAAAATTCCTACATAGCACACTTCTATGTTTGTTTAAGAAATTAATAACTGTTTACTTAAAACCACCTCCTTTTTTTTCCAGTTAGCAAGTTATGTAAGTTCCTCTTTTAGAACAGATCAGCTTCAAAGTTTAAAGCTGATCTGCTGTGTGGGGGCTGATGTATTTTTAATGGAGGAAAAGTAGTATTTCTTTTAAGTTCATGTAACTCAAAATAAAGGCCCAGGATTTCTTTTTCACCCTTGAAGAAAATTTTTTTCTGGAAACTCTAAACATGTAAAACAGAGGATTAGGATGAAAGTTTTACTATTTAATTTAATGCTAATGAATACAATGATACAGTTAATGTGGGAGAAAAGTGTTGACGAATAGTCATACAAGATGAGATCAGAAAGAAAAATTTGATTCTGGACCGACTTAAAAGAAATATGTCACTATTATAGTAGCACCTTACCATTTCTTATGTCAACATGTACCTTCTATAAATTATCTCTAAGAGATTTCTAACTTGGCTATAAAAGCCTTCGGGTGAGACTATGAAGTCTCAGCCCAGAGAAAAATATGATAAAATCTGAAAAATAAAAGTCTGGAAATATCTCAATGACATAAATAACTATTTTGCAATCATACTCTTTATTTTTATTCTGTAATAGTCAGAAGCTCTTATATAAAATATGTCATTCACTTAATCCACATTATCGCTATTATGTTCTATTAATTTCTGGCATTGAAAAAAAAGCTCTCAATATTGTGCAGTCTAATAATAATTTACTGTTGTGTGCAGTATTTCAAGTTGATTTTAATAACTATTGCATGTGTTCCAATTATATAATAACAGAACCAGCCAGGAATTAAAAACACTGCTCAGGTCTATAGGGTACATAATACTTGTTAAAAAAACACCTTACTAATTATTTAGTTACCTAGAGACATGTCTCTTAGTTTCCAAGGTAAATTATTGTATATATTTCCTTAATTACACTTTTGCAAACACTGCCTAACTACATGGTGTGTTTACTTGAGAGACTTGTGTGGCAGTCCTTTGGGTACATAATATACCATTTCTTTTCCCTAATTATATATTTATCTGAGAAATGAACTTCTTTTGATAAGTCATGCCTGTCTCCTGTGTCCTAAGGAAATTTCTGTGTCAGACTTTTCCTTTTCTTAAAAAAAGGGAAAGGATATTACATTTAAAAATGAGGTTCAGCTATTTTTAAGGTAGAATTTTAAGTCTGGGAAAAATTTGAGAGGGGAAATCATTTCTACAAAAATAATTCATTTTAGTTAATATCTAACCTATATCGGCATAGATTAGATAGGTTCACTACCAATCTAACCTATGCTGCTTACCGAAAATGGTGCAACTTAAATCTAGTTTGCCTCGGGCTTTTTGAATGTCTGTACTTAGCCATAGTGTGGGTTTACCATAGATTTAAATTTAAACAGTGGCACAGTGACATTATCTACTTTGATTTTAATTTCATTCTGAATAACTCCTAACTTTCCATTTGCTTTTCTGAATGTTGCTGAACACTGGGCTGCTTTTAATTGTAATATCTCTTTCTTGGATAGTAACAACTCATGGAGAACCTGTTATTGTTTATGTTTTCCTAGTTTTCTGTTATTATTAAAAAATATTGGTCTTTTTTCTTCAAAGTTTGTTTCTCCTCCAGTTATACCCTGAATTGGATGATGCTAAAATCAAGAATTTCTGTCATCATGGCCATTTCCCATGAAAACTGCTTTATCATAAATCCTGTGTTCATTACAAGGAAAAGAAGTTGCAGCAGATCCAACTGCCAATTCTTGGGTTAGTTTGTAACTCTCTGATCTTCCTAATGTAAGGGACCGTTCATACATGCAAGGTAAAAAACGAGTATTATCTTAATTTTATAAATGGAGAATCCAAAACAAGGAAATTAACTATCCTAGTAATATAAGGAGTGAAGATTAAAAATTTGGAATTCTTGGCTTTCACGCTTGTGTTCAGGCCACTTTTCTATGTCTCAACCACTTTATTTTCATACCTGCTCTCAGTATGCATTATGATGTTGATGTTATTTAAGTATAACATATTTAGTATATTTGTTGCACACTTGCTAACATAAAGTGGTCTGTGCAAAATGTCATTGAAGTTAATATTTATGAAATAAATGCAAGTAAGACTAACTGCAATTACAGGATAATCTAGAGGCTATTTATCTTCTCTGACGTCTTTTTGTGTTCAATAGCATAAAGCATAGTATTGCATAAATTTGCAAGTTTATGCTACCTATTCACAATGGGTAGTCTTTTATGTAATCACAAAATAGAGCCAAGTAAGACAGATCCTAATTTAAACAAGAGTTGGTTTTGATTACTGATGATCAGGTGCCACAGACTTTTGATTTATAACTAGAATTCAACAAAAGAGTTAAAATTCAAATTGGGTGGGGATGTGGGGCGCAGTCATCATTTTCTCCACTATAATACATTTATTTATTTCAGAATTCTCAGATGAATGATATCCAGGATTGCGCAGTGATACAGTAGAAGAGTTATAAATAGAATCATGAATGCTTGATTCCCAATTCCTTGACTTAAATTACTATACTTTATGGTCTTTATAGTTTCATATGACACAACTTACTAGTTAGTAGCCTTATTTCCATAGACTGCTTAACAACCAGATACAAATTTTAATAGTAGTCTTGTGTAGTATCATTTATTTAGAACTGCTGTATCAACAATTCACTGAAAAATATATGATGCAAAGTACAATCTGATCTGCCTTTATAATGTTCTATTTTATGGTTATTTATTCCACCTCTGTTACTGTCTTTCAACACATCTGTTTTCCTAGATTATAAAGTATAAATCATGGGGAGCGTAAAAATAGGCAGCCATTTAAAGAAGAGTTAAACAAAAATAGGAAAGCTACATGGACATATTTTACTGTGAAAATTACAGAACCTTTTCACAATCAGTACGATTGTTTGCAGTCTCCAGGTTGCTGCTTTTTTCAGTAACTAGTAACAAACCATTCTATATGCTGCTGAATTGATTATCATTTTGTTGTGAGTCATCCTCTTCACAATTTTAAGTCTCCAGATAGTCTCTATCATTGCCATTCATACCGCAAAGGTTATGTATAGAATCAGACTGTGAAAAACATCTTCCTACCTATTGTGTTTACAGCTGTAGAAGTTTATTGTTGAGATCTAGGTCAAATGTGGATATGATGAATTTTAAAAAAGTAAATAAAACCATGAAAGTTTCTGGAATGATCAATGAAAGAAAGGCAATCTGATGAGTTAGCTTTTTCTTATGAAGTCCCTGAGGCTAAAATGTCCCTGCTAAATTCGTATCTCGCTATAGCATCTATTTAGTGATAAAAAAGAGTTAGACTTATTGGACTGTTGAAAGACTTCTTTTTCTGTCTCCCAGTCTTCTGTCACCTCCCATAACCTGCTCTTTCAAATCTATCTCAGTTTCTACTGAAACAATTGTTTCCCTTATTCTGATCCTGATCGTTCACTCTCAATTAGATTGAATATTCCCCTAATATTGAAGCCATTTATATTGCTAAACCACTGCATATGCTGGCCAGTTCATATTGCTGGTGGTATTCATATCTCTCAATCTTTGAGTCTTGTCTGATCAGTGATTACAAAGCATGTGTAGTGTCACTGATCGACTTGTGCAAAATTAGAATTAGAAAGAAGAATCAGATTGAGAAAATCAGTGGATTTTCTAATGAACTTGAGAACAAATTAGTGGGATAAATAAAGGTGGCTGAAACTATAGCCTTTTAGTGTAAAGCTAAAGCTTTTTAGAGTAATTTTTAAAATCTAAAATTGTTACTCTGGCTAATGTTTTGTGAAAATGAAATTCAGTGTTTTTAGCATTAGTCCACTTGATATGAAATGAAAAACTCTACTAAAGCATGTGACCAGGTTTCAATTGTTCAAATGTGTAAAAGTCAATGGGATCACATTCATAATCAAAGTTAAGCATAAGTGTAAATGTTTGTGGTTCAAAGCCACAGAGGCTTAAATGAAAATAATACAGTAACTGTGCCAGTTTTTTTTCTTTAAACTATAGTACAGATTATGTCCAACATTTATTCAACAGGAAAATGCATTTTATTTTTTGTACAGCATTTTTATAGTACTGGCAGTTGCATTTATAGGATATCCTGAGGCTAAATTTCTTTGTTCATTATTTTTGAAAGAGAGTCTCTTTATTCCAAGAAAGCAATCTGGGAAAGCACTCCTCTTTTTTCACAGAGATTTAAAACTGAACCTCTGCATATTCATGAGCTGAAGCCTTCTTCCTTAGAGTAATCAAAGTATAAATAAAGCTCAAGAAACAATTGCCCCCACAAACATACTCTCAATTTATTGATAGATTGGGATTTATTTCAAGTAAACAAAACTCACAAGGAAGACATACTAGTCTAACATCTAGTGTTTTATTCATCTTGTGAATAATTATCAAAGGAGGTAAAAGTAACTGTTGTCATTTGATGCAACTTATAAACTGATCTGTGCTACTCTAAGTCTCTTTAAAATAAATAACAATGGCACAGCCAACAGTGACATATTTATGTTTGTATGGGCATAAGGGAAAATGATATTTCATCTATTTTTAAATGCAATATGGTTGAGAATAAGAATTTAATGTGAATTTATACAATCTGGAAAAAGATAAGCAGGATGAGATCCAGGTTAGTAATTTAGGTATGTAAACAGACTGGAATGGAATTTAAATGACTAATCCACAAAAAAAGCCAATCCAGAATGCCTCTCTCACACAGGGAGATACCATCCTTGCTGGAGGAATTTACAAATTAAGAAAGAGATTTTATCACCTTTGCTCAGGTTAAGTAATACTTAACTCTGTGCATAGTTCATTATTTTAATGATGTTAGGCAATGTGTAAGGTATTACTGAATCTTAATAAAGCTGAAAAATCTATCCTTAAGAAAAAAGCAACATATTAAGTCTGAACAATATGAATGAAATATTAAATAAAAAACGTAATAAAAAATTGTCCACGGTTCTAAAATGTCTATTAATATAAACAATGATATTGGCTACTTTGATGCATGGTGTAAGAAATAAGGTAAAATAGGTATCTGTTCTGCATGTAGGAGAAAAAGACAACAAAGTTGTTACAGGTAAAGCAGGCAAAAGAGAAAGTTTGGTTTGAGGAAAACAATATGATATTGTGTCATTCGATTATTTGAATTATTTCAGCACTGCACTATGATTTCTGCAAGAACAATTTTATGCTTCCATCATCATGTGCTTAAGAGATAGTCAAGCATAGAAAGGAAAAAAAAATGTGCATATCTTGACAATCCTAGAGCATTGACTATATTTGAAACATATCAGTATTCATGAAACTATAACTGGTACGCATGGTTCAGTCAAACATATGTCGGCTCATGAACTCAAATATTTGACATTAAATGCTTGTTTGACCCACTGGTTACATGGAAGACCATCTGTGCTCACTACCAATAAAAGATATTTTGCAATTCACTTACAGAATACCATTGCTATTGGATTTGCTATTTGGAAGCAGTTTCACCTACAGTTGGTTAAAGAAAGAACAAAATATGAAGTGAGGTCAGAGACATCCTGGAAAACATTTTGCTTGGTTATTTTATTAAGGTAGTTTCCTTACTGTTGTATTTTTTTTTTATAATCATGGCTAAACAAGTTAAGTTGCATATGAAAAATCAGTAACCTTTTGTGGAAAAAAGTATCTGGCAATGCACTTGGGAGACTTCCTTGCTCCTTTGAAATAGCAATATGATAACTAAATCATTAGAAACAAGATGATGTTTGAAGAGAGACGATTTGCTATGGGTAATATGGGTGTAAAGAAGCAATGTGAGTTTTATCTTTTATTCGTTGTGTGCTGAGAACTCACATTGATTTGAGTAAAAGAGTTGAATTGAGCCTTTTTTAGATATTTTAATGAGGTAATTAACTACAACATAGATAAACTATGGATCACAGCTCTGACATCAGGTAAGGAAAGTCTCACAAATACAGTTTGTTTAGCAAACACAATACTAATAGGAATCAAATAGTCAAAAGGCTGTCCTATCTCTAGTAACAGGCATTAATCAAGGGGGGAGGGTGGAGAGAGAGAGAGTATTATACTGAAAGAAGAAAAAAAAATTGTTGGGAAAAGAAAAAAAGAGACACATAATTCAGTGCAAATTTCTACCAAGGAACAACAAAAAAAACAAAGTATCTTGAAGCATATACACAGTATTGCCTAATCCATAAAATAAAAAAAACTACTAAACTACAACCAGGGCCATTAATACATATTGCATTAGCAAGGCTTTTGTGGTTTATTATGTTGTCACCAGAATCCCTTTAGTGTATAAAAAACAGCACTTTGCTAATCCACATACTTATAACTCACAAAACTCTCTAATGTCTTTCTGCACTTTTCAGCACAGATTTAATAGCTATGTTGTAGAAAGGTCTCATATTAAGACTTCATTACTTTTGCAAAATACAGGTATATTGCTCTACATTTACTAGCCTATTTTGAAGTATTATACATTTTTAGGCTCAGATCCTGAAATCAATGGAGCTCTGCTTAGAAGAAATGATCTCAGGATCTCCAGTTTTAAACTACAACTGTCAGAATAAATAAATCATTTTTAATTAATTTTTCATCTGTGGACAAAGCCAGACTCAATGTAACTATTCCCATTATTTTCATTGGGTTTCAACCAAGCTCTTATGGATAGATTAACAAAAGGGACCATGGCTCAGTGACTATCTCAAGTAAGTGTCCTGCTACCTAATATAACCTCCAGCTCTGAATTAGGTGCCAAGGCTCTCTGTACAATCCTTCAGAAGGGGTGGGTATCTACACATGGGGTACATAAGAGCCAGGAAAGTGGCTAGGGATTTTCCTGGTAATTTGGCTGGAAGGGAAAGCCAAAGACAGGAGTCAGGCCAAACTCTGAGGTGGAAAGAGGGACTTCCCTCCATTCAAAATTCAGTCATAAATTGGAGTTAGGCCAATCCTTTCTTGTAGAAAATGCAGCAACAAACCCATTTATAACAAATGGTGCTTTGTATATTGGAGACCCAAATTTAAGCATCAGCTCTGCCTGGTTTTAGTGTGTATTTGAACCCAATTCTGCTACCCCTCAAAACAAACTCCTGTCCCCTGAGCTGAACAGCAGTTAGCTGTTCCACTTTCCATGGTTTAATCTTCATCATACCAGGGAGTTGATCTTAAATATGCCACACCTTGGATAAACTTCTTGACTCTTTTCTTCCCACGTTCCCTCTTTTTCTGCCCATCCTATTAATAATTCATTATTAATCAGAAGTGAAAATGCTTCAACATGAGCTTGAACTTCTCTGCTTTTCCTATAAGTCAGATAAGTACTCTGACTAGAGGGCTATTTTATAAGGAAGACACAAGAACCATCTCTTTACTTAACCCCAACTCTTTTCTTATGTGAAGCTTGATCTGTTAGGCATATTCTGATAATACCTACTAGAACAGGCGAGATTGGCTCCTACTGTAATTAACTTGTGGAAATGTATAGACTTAGATCATTTAGTTGCCTCTAATAATAGATGGAAGCTGAATGGGACTACTGAATATCTATATTTTAAGCTGAAGCATCCAAGTAGCAGTCGGGTAACTCAGTCTGTTCATAGATATACTACTCAATTAATTAATTCACAATGGGTTTTCATATCACTGTAAATTAAGATTTTGTTGCATTTGTGATTTTTATATATAAAAGTAAATATCTATGTTCAGTAGGATAAAAAAATTAAATATATCAACTATCCGGTGCATCAATGGATTTATACATTAATGTTGTATATTTGAGAGAACCCACCGAGCTAACAATAATGACACACAGTTACTATAATAAGATTGCTAAATGGACAACTCTGTACTGTTTGTAAGAACTGTTTTTGATTCATATTTAAATTAGGATTTCAGAGGATGGGGGAAAATACACATTAAATTAATATGTCGGGACAGACAAACACAGGATGAAAAATTATGAAAGAACATTTCTTTTTATAATTTTCTTTAGTTCATGTCAATGTCTACTTTCTATCACTTGCCTTTGATAGTGTGCAAAATAGAAAATTCTTAGTGCAACACCGATTCACATTTTAACAGATCAGCATAAGGACTGATATTATGCTCTTTCAAAACAAATTAGTGTGAGTTTTGGACTTCATTTCATCTTGGGTAGAACTGCAGCCAAAGGATGGTTTCTCTGTATCAGACTATATTAAGCAGCACATTGACTTGTAGACTTGTGCCTATTTGAGATAACACTGAATATGGAAACCTTTATACAACAGAAATGTATTTCAGCTGTTAAACAATTTAAAATTTAATTCGTGTGTGTCAGATACTGCATGTCACAACCATGTACAAAGATGCTTGCACTCTGGTTCTGATAAACAGACTTTGTAAATGAAGTCATCAAGAAAATCCTGAAAATCAAAACCATCTCGCTCTGTAATTCATAACAACTTAATGAGTTCTTACAGAGAGGATATTGGCATATTTAATGTATTCCTGTGAGACTATTTTAATGTGAATAAATATTTTAAAATCCACTATTTAATTTACTGTTTAAAGGGCAGATTTTGTATTATTTTCAGGTGTATTTTATGAAATTTGTTCTGGCTATTTTCTGACCAAGGTGACATTAGTAATTATGATAGGATTTTTATGTTGATGTCTGTGGAACAATTTAAAATGTCCCAAGATACATTAATTTGACAGATGACCTCCCTTCCCAGTCCAACCTGCTACAGTGGAGATCACCACTGGTGGCTGCAGTTTGGCCCATTACTTCAAATTAGGGCCTCACTTGCACTTCTCCAACCCTGAACATTCTGTATCACTCAGTTCTGTAGGATTTCCACACATCATGTTAAAACCAAATTTTTGAACCCTCAGTTTTTGAGGTAGAAAGCCCACAATAAAGCCTTGATTCTTCATCTGTTATTTTGTCAGCTAGAATTTCCTAATTTGGGACAATAGTTTGCCAATTATTTTGTTTTAAAATTATTCTCTTAAATATATCAAAGGTGCAGTGGAGCATAGAAATATACCCATGTCAGAAATAAAGATTGGGGAATGAGTGGGAGGGGAAAAGCAGATGAGATTAGATCCCTCTGTCCATTTCTCAGAAGCCATTCTGTTTTCATTGATATCATACCCAGGTAGCTGCACCCCAGGCCAGTCCTAAATGCTAGGAATTACAAGGAACCATAAAAAGGACTCAAGACAATATTATTGCCTAAGTAAAATTCTTAGATACTCACTGAAGGATTAAGAATTCAATATAATTGTCTGAATGGTAATAAGGGCTTTGAATTTGATTCTCTACATTTTGTAAAATGTTGTTCAGTGCTTCAAATAAACTATCAACAGAAGTAATGTTTATTGTCAGCTCATCTTCCTGTTTATTCATCTAATTAAGTCATAAACTTTTGTCCATGTGATATCACAGACATCTCTCCTATAACAGATGGTGACCTCTGAAAGCATTGGGACTTTACTGTATGAAAGGGAGAGGAGACCTGACGAGATGAACCAGCTCAGGTTCAACAGCATACTGTGCAGATTGCCTAGTGTTTTATAAAAAGTGCTAATGGGAATATTAGCTTCAATGCTAATCAAAGATTTATTTTTTGTATAACAATGGTAATGTGAGATGTATCTTTAAAATGCAATTATTCACTGAAGACTAAATATAAACTAGCTTTATTTGTTTATAATTTTACATGTTTAACATGCCAATCCAAGTGAATATGAAACACTACTCTAAATTAAAAACCAGACAAATACAAATACTATTTATAAAAGAAAAATGTAAAATATATGGGTGAATGAGTAATTGGCCTCCTGCACGTTCAATTATGGAAATCCTTGTGCAAATAGCGTAAAGTCTTCCGACTGGTCAGGAGAGCACACTAGTAATCCATATTCAAACTAAACTGGTATCAAAGAATAGTAACATCATAATTTTATAATGCACAATTTCTCCTTTACCCAAGTATAAAACAATTTAGCTGCCTCATCAAGATGTATACACATCTACAATATAAAGCCAGGTAATCCTTATTGTTATTTTCTGGTTGGCAAAAAAAACAAACGGTTCTCAAATGTCACGGATTGAAAACTGATTCACATTTGTGTGAAGTGCTGTAGCTCCAGCACCAAGGGGTAGAAGTGAACACCCAACCCAGCATGCTTTGCAGGGGGTGAATGGTAGGAGAGGAAGCGCTTACACCCATACTTTGGAGATTCCAGGAGGTGGAGATGGCTAACCTATGGCTGGGCTATTTTCACTTTGCTGCTTTCTCTTCTCCTCTAAACATGTGATCAGTAAGCTTCAATAGTCTGCAAATGACCAAAGTCTGCAGTTTGCTTGCCTAATGTCAGGGGATGGGGGAGCGGTGCTTAGACCCAAGGTGGGAATAGAATTCCTGCTGTATACCACAGTGACTAGTTCTACCACTCAGGGAGTAGCTGTAATGATGCAATTTGGGATTCCTGGAGACCCAATCAGACCCATGCCACAGACACCAAGTTAAGCGGCAGTGTGGTCACATCAGAAGATAGGTTGCAGATACAGGTGGACCTGGACAGGCTCAAGAGTTGGGCAGAGCAGAGCCACATGAAGTTTAACACTTCCAAGTGTAAGGTGCTCCATCTGGTTGCAAACAACCCTCAACATACAAACAGGCTCAGTGGTGACAGCTTGACTTGCACCACGGCTAAAAGGGACCTAGGGGTAATGATTGACCATCACATGAATATGAGCCGTCAGTGTGAGGCGGTGGTCAGCAGGGCAAACAACACGCAGGCATGCATCAACTGATGCATCTCATGTAAAACTAAGGAAGTGATACTCCCGCTGTACAAAGCACTGGTGAGACTGCAGTTGGAGTATTGCATCCAAATCTTGGAGCCGCACTTCAATAAGGACAGGGAAAAACTTGAGAGGGTCCAGAAAAGAGCCACCCGTATGATCAAGGATTTGCAAGGCAACCCGTACGAGGAAAGGCTGAAGGACTTGGGCCTCTTTAACTTAAAGAAGAGAAGGTTGAGAGGGGACTTGAAAGTGGCTTACCACTATATCCGAGGAAAGCATCAGAAGCTTGGTGAACAACTGTTCACTAGGGCACTCCTGGGGAAGACCAGAACGAATGGATACAAACTCCTGGAAGGCTGCTTCAGGCTTAATACCAGGAAAAACTCCTTCATAGTCAAGGTGTCCAGACTGTGGAATAAACTCCCTCCAGAGGTGGTGCAGTCACCTATCCTGGAGGTTTTCAAGACAAGACTGGACAGTCACCTTGCTGGAGTCACTTAACTCCAGTTCTCACTCCTGCCCAGAGTGAGGGAGGGGCTGGACCCAATGATCTGCAAGGTCCCTTCCAGCCCCTAACAATCTATGAATCTATAAGTCAAGTCCATATCATTAACTTATCACGCTAGACATGCTATCCCATGCATGCTCCTTCCCAAATTGGAAGAAAGATGTGCGCCTTAGGGCAGCATATAGGTGGGCTAATTAGCTCCCCTAAAGATAGAGTTAATTAGCTTGGGTGCAGTGCACAAAAAACACAGCTACACTGATTCCTTTTTTAGGAGGCAGTCCATGTCTGTTTCAGCACAATTCCACCTGACATAAGTTGGAGGTACTGACATGCATTCTTTCAAAGAGCTTACAGTATAGCTTCTGCAAATATTTTCTATTTACTTAAATGTGGGATAGTCAATGCATGTGGATATGGTTATCTGGACTGCTTTTGTAACTTCAGGGCTTTAGTAGCCTGTGTTGAGCCACCATATGCCCTTCATCCAAAATGGGCAGAGTTGGCTGATGTACTATACTTGCCATTCCTTCTTGTATCCACTCCTGGCACATGCTGCTGTGTCCAAGTTCCTGTTCAGGCCAATGGCATAACTAGGCAGTTCAGTGCCGTGGGAGGCAGCAGTGCCTGGGGGAAGCAGCTGCAGCTGGGCTGCCTGTGGCAACAGTCAGGACAGTATGGGAGCTGTTTTTTCTGCACCTAAGTTGGCGGCTGGGGCTAGCAGCTCATTTGCCCTCCTGTAATTCAGCTACTTGTTCAAGCTCCTCCAAGCCTGTCCCATAAATACTCATGAGGGTAGGATTCACAGTATCACGCTAAACTGCACAGTTCATAGTTATTCATAGGAAATTTTTTTTAGAGGACTTGCTCTAGGACAGTGGTTCTCAACTTTTTTAGACTTGAGGCACCCCTTGCATAATGCTAGCTCTTAGTTTTCACTCATTTTTGGCTACAGAAAAAAAGAGCAGTTTTTGTGTTGCAAAGAACTCAGACAACTATGGACTTCTATTTCAAATCTCTGGGTTTATATCGCAAATTGTATTTGTAAACCTAACAGCGCTAACATTATGTGGCACACCAAGACACCCTTGACAGGACCTCATGGTACCCCAGGGTATCATGGGTCCCTGGTTACAAATCACTTCTTTAGGGGGAAAAAGAGATTATTTGTTTCTAGCAGCTACCCCTGTCAAGATGAGCTGCAGATTATGGTATCAATTCCTTCATTCATGAAGTCTAGAGGACTGATGGATATAAAGCAATGTCCTTGATTTGTGACTGACACCTAGGAAAACTGTATGTATTCTCTGGTGAAAATATTTACCAGGAATATAGAAAGGATATATATATATATATATATATATAGAGAGAGAGAGAGAGAGAGAGAGAGAGAGAGAGAGAGATCTATGGATATCTATACTTATCTATAGATACCTATAAATCTATAGATACCTAGAGATATAGGAATCTATATCTATATATCTATAAATCTCTCTCTCTGTCTCTCTCTCTCTCTCTCTCTCTGTATATATATACACACAGGAAAAGGGACCTAGGGGTAATGATTCTACCCCTATATATATAGGACTGCTAGTGAACATTCTTGTCTGGCCAGGTTGATTATTGTTTATCAAGAACTGGAGAAAAGCTGGAGAAGAACTTTTGAGGAGATTGGTCAAAATATCAAAATAACACTTTCCCACTGCTTGGCTAATTCTACAATTATAATTGAGATCCTATTCAAGAGAACTGTATTGATTCAGCAAAGTACTAGAAATGTATGGGAATGTTCATATGCTTTAATTTAGGTATATTATTTTCTTGAATAGTTGCTTAGGCTTTTTGCTCCATACAATATTTGTTTATATACTAATTGCACCGCAGTTTTCTTTTAAGCTAATCCAAGCATATCAGGTAGCATGCTGTGTCAAGCAAGAGTTAAAAATAGTATGTGAGTAGGGCAAAAGTGTGACATCCCCATGTAGAATTGCTCTTAACACCTAGTTTGTGTCCCTATGCATCTCCTTCACAGGACATAGTTTTACTGCTTCTTTCCCAAGTTCAAAATATTGATATTGTAATAGCCATATCATCTAGGTATTGCTAAATGAGGGAGACTATAACTCTAGCTTCTTTTTACAAACTTGGGCAGGGCAAAGGACTTGAAGAATCTGAATGGGAACAATCACAGTATATCACAATAGCACTGTAGAAGTAAATAGCTTGCATTTTTTAAATTATGTTTTCCTCCACCATCAATATCCCTACCCCCATTCCCAGCCTGGCTTTTTTATTTTTTGACTGTACAGGATGCCTGTAGCACAAGCAACAGATTTACAGAGATTTGTTTTCCCCCTAAGTTTGACTTTGGCTGAAAGGCTTTACATTTGCCCTTCACACAGTATGTTTGATTTACTTATTTGCAGGAATATAAATGGCACAATGATTAAAACCACTGTTTCTCTCCTTAGTGACCCAGGTTTAATTATAGCTCATCTGGTTTTCAGTAACACTGCCAGGAAAAAGGGCATGTTCAGCAAGCTGTTTCTAGGCAATGCTCATATGGGTTATATTAAGTAACTTCATAAGCTTCATACAGTGATATACTGCCCTTCTTTTCTACCACCTGGGTGCTAGTCAGTGTATTCATGAGTATATTTAGGTTTAGTATCTATGCCATTATACTGCTGGCCAATTATAAGTCAGTTTTACACAATGTTCTTTTTCTACACTGTTGCCAGCTCACCTAATCCATTTTCAAATCCTCAAACTTTACAACTAGTTTTGGAAAGGTGCAATCGTAAATCACCATGACATGATTGACTAGACTGCTTTGAGGACTAGTATGTCTGTGATCTTCAGACTTGAGACTGTCAGAGCTGCAGATGTCCATGAATGCCACTTATTTAATTTAATGGTGCATTTTTACACACTGCAACATCCTACTGCAAAACATTAAGTGGATAGGACACTTCAGCATCTCAGCCTCTCGTCTTGTTTGACAAATGTATTCAATACTTGTTAATCTTTTTTATTTTATAATTGCCCCTAGCTCAAGAAGATTATTTTATGCATTTATAATTGTCAACTCTGGGGGTTAATTTATTAATCTATAACTGCTTCCAAATCTGGGAGATTACTTTATTAATTTTTAATTGTCCCTGATTATATAAGCGGTAGTCCAAAAGTCTCCCAGAACTGGGAGCAGCCAGCTTCTCTGTATTGTTTTGGAAAAATGAAACATA